TGAACAAAGTTGGAAGAAAGGTCAATTTTCTGAATTGTTAGACTGGATTCTGCTCACACACATAATAAATAACTTAGTAGTCCTCAGAGTTTTTGCCTCAAAGTTGTGAAACCTTTTTCACATTTTCTAGGTGGCTTCTGCATGGGTTTTCCTTGTTAATAAATTGCACTGTATGTTTAATGCTGGAGGATAGGTCGTTCTTACTGAAGTGACAGGTGAATGCTGATGTAAGTTATATGATGTGTTTGAGAGATAGTTGGCTGTCTTTTATGTCCCCGTCTTTATAGGAATCCATGAGAACATATGTTTATGTAGGCAACATGATTCTGGCTGTAGGAGTAAAAACTTTCTGTGCAGTCACTTTGTAAAGGCTGCGAAGATAATCATCACCTTATAGTGATAGCTCGTGCATTTCCTGTGCCTAGCACAGTGCCTGGAATAAAATAGATGTTAGGTATACTGGCTGTTCTAAAAATCCATCAATTAAACATGCAGCGTGGATACTATTTCATTTTATTCTTTTGATATGTTGAGGATTAGTTGTGCTTCTACCCAGTGCCTATGAAACTTGTTAGTCACATAAGTCAAAGTTATCCACTGCTTTGAGTACTAAGGAAACCTAATCTTGAGCTTTGACTTAGGTGAGTCACTAATATTTTCCCGTTTCTGCCCAAATAATTATTTTCTTTTGAGAGCATGTTTTTCTGCCCTGTAGAATAGAATTGCTTTTTTTGGTGGGGGTGGGGGGGTGTCTTATATGCCACCTGTAGTTTGGAGGAAAATGCCATTGTTGGAGGGAAAATGGGATTTATGTGGGAAAGAGAAAGGCAAGTAAAGAATCCACTCTGGGCTTCTTTCCCTAAAGGAGAATGGGCAGGGTGAGAAGTACTTAACAGCTTCACCAGATGGATTTTAGGTTTTAATTTCATTAAACTTGAACCCCAAATGTATCAGGGGTCCCTGACCTATGCAGGCTGAATTAAGGGGAGAACCGAGGCCTGTTTGTTGTAGTGCTGTGGTCTCTAGGACACCTTCTTTAGTCTTTTTTATTCTTAGAAACAGAGTCACCTCTTGGCAGGAGTAGAGGCACTCAGATGCCCGTGGTCAGGATCTGATTTCAAGTCACCTGGCTTGGAGAACCAGGGCCTGACTTCCTTTGGCAGAGGCAGCCTGCCCCTACTCTGTTCGTGTCAGCCACTTGGGCACAGAGGTAACATCCTCAAAATAGAAACCTTTGGCATGTCGGATACATCTGTGAATCATTATGTTTATCCTGAATTCTAATTCAATTTCATAGAATTTGGGAAACTCTGGCTTTTTCATTTTCTCCCTCAAATCAACTTTCACAAAAAAATCGATCAAACAAACTTGGACGGGCTTAGACGGTTTCTTCTGGTAGAGGGTATGGCTGGTATCTGCAGCAAGTGAAGGGTGGTGACCTTCACAAGTCCACATTTTATTCTTTTAATTTTTATTGTTATTAGTACGTTATTTGCAGTACCTAATGATTGCATTCCTTGTGCAAAGTTAGTTCACGGGTCCACATTTTTGCTTAACTGTGACTGTGCCTGGACATGCATCCTCAGCTTATCCCTAAGCTCCTGTTTTCTCCTTTGTAAAATGGGTTTTGAAAAATGCACCTATAGCATTGTCCTAAGGCTTACCTGAGATATAACACACGCGCGCGCACGCATGCACACACACATACACACACACACACACACCCACACACCACGGTCCACAGAGCCCAGTGGACATAAATGCTCACCTCTCATTCAGCCAGGTGAGAGGCCCCCCCGCCCAGCAGCTGGCTCCCAGGGGGCTGGGGCTGCAGTCAAGGAGTTGAACAGTGGCTTCATGACTTGCTTCCAGCTCTTGCTTATTCATGTTTATTTTCTCTTCTCTTGGCAGGAGGGCTAGCTCAAGCAGGAAAGTTCTTTTGCTTTTACCCTAAGATCTAGTTAATCTTACGCGATAATAACCCTAATGATAGCAATCTTAGTAGCTACAGCTTATCGAACACTCCCTGTCTGCCAGGCCCTATGCCAGCCACCTTCTCTGTATTATTTTCTTTAATCTTCACAACAGTCCCCTTTTACAGGCATTGTATTCCCATTATACATATGAGAGAAATGAGATTTCAGGATCAGGTCTGGCTCCAGTTTTCATGCTTTGTTCTTAGCACCTTGCTTTCAGCTATACCCTTATGGCCCCTGAGAATTTACCCTCATTTACCTTCTTGACCTCATGACAAGAAGAGGGCAGAACTGTAGTCCCTGTATTCCAACAGTAGGGTACAGGGGGTGCTTCAGTGTTGAGAGGAAGAAGATCAAGTTTCACAGCATCTGTGCTCCGCCCTGCTCTGGCCTTGCCTGAGCTCACCTGGGACCTGGATTCAGTTCACAGGTGTTCCTAGAGCTCTGTGTGCTCCTTTCTTCCTGTGGATTCACTCTCTACAGGTGACTGAACTGATGGAAGTGGTCCTCCAGTCATGGGTAGGGCTGTCAGCCAGCTGCAAGCAGACACTATTAGTAAGGGCTGGACAGATGGACATGCTGACACCAGGCATCTGGTTAAAGAAAGGCCTTTTGCCTTCCATTTGTCCAGCGTATACCCCACATTCATCTTTTCATCTCTGATTGCTTTTACCCAAGGGTTTAAGCACCCCACACACACACTGTGCCTGTTCTAGTTCTTCCTTTTGCCTCACTAATGAGACTAGGAGCTTCTTAGCCATACCTGTGCTTCCTACCTTTCCATGCGCTTTTGTTTGTAATAGAAAAGATGATACGGCAGCATGTGAGAAATTCTATAGCAAAACCGAAGTTATGCGCTCATGGCCTCATCTCTCCAGCACAATGGCTGTGGCTTTTACTTCTTAGTGTTTGTTGCTCAGTGTGGGTACGCACTCTTCTTTCACTGTGGCTCCTAAGTTGTCAGCCTTTCCTGAAAGGCCCCAGGCATCTAGTCCCTGCCCCTGGGTCTGTGTAAGGGAAGGATGGACAGGTTCCCCTTTTTCATTTTACTTAGAACCTTTTCAGTCTTGGAAGCCTTGATACAGGTCACTCTGAGGTTGTCTAAGAGAAGGCCTAGCCCTCCCCCAGAAGATATCAGCCGAGGGACCCTTTCTTCAAATGCAGTGTCCAGCCTCCTGCCTTTTTGCATCATGGCCATAGATCCACTGGTGTGGAAGGTCATAGATTTAAACCAGGCCTTCTCAGGATGTACTTTTAGGATTTTGTGATTAGTTGAGTTTGGTAAACTTTGGGCTATACAAAGTTTAAAAATGCTTCTTTATGTCAGTACTTTTTCTTCTCCTTCTCGCCCCCCTCCATTGTGCTGGGGATTGAAATTAGCACCTTATTTATATGGGGCTTATGCTCTACCATTAGGCTATACTCCCAGCCCCTATCAGTGCTCTTAATATGCTCATATTCTCTGTGAATCTCATAAATGGAGGATTTATAAAATAGTAAAACAGCTAGCATTTATTGAGTGCTTCCTTTTTGTTGGGTCCTGGAGTCCTGGTAAACTCTTTACATGCAGTGTGCCATTTAAACTCCCAACAGCCCTAGGAGATAGCTGCCATCACTGCTTACATTTTAGACTCTGGGGGCACTTACCACTATTATAGTGTTTGCAGTAGGTACAAAGTCTTGTGCTGCACAAGGCTGAGTCTGGACCCGAGTCTTTATAACCAATGGTCAGTACTGTTCCTGGGGAAGCTTTGACTAAGCCTTCCATTATTTCTGGCTTCTTTAGGATTGGTACTCAGAAGAATGGCAGTTGGTGAATTGCCAGTTTAAACTTGGAATGTGAATGGTGACTGCTAGATGAAGAAAGGAGAGGGGCTTCTCCTGGGACTCTTGCTGGGTTTTGGATCCCACACTGGGCTTTACTGTGTCATGTTCAGCTGATTCTAATGCAAGCATGGACGGTCTAGAGAGAGTGTCTACACTGGTGGTTGTCAAAGGTGGCTGCATGCTGGGATTCTTCCAAGGAACTTTAAAAATGACTTCTGCCTTACCTCATCCCAGGGATTCTAGTTTTGCCTGGATGGGGCCCAGGCCTTGGTGATTTTTTAAATGCTTGGAGATTGGGATGCAGCCTGGGTTGAGCACCTGGGTCTGGACATAAAATCCTTTGCAGTCGAGTTACGCATCTAACACCAAAGCAAGGAAAGAGTGAGTGTGCTTTGTAAGTTACATGATGTTGTAGAGTTTGAGGGATTTTTTTTTTTAATTCATGAAAGAATGACCTGTGTCCTTTTTTACCCACCACGTATAGCCTTATGGATCCACTATGCTTGTTGACAATCACATGTTGCATGGCGCTTAGAGTTTGAGGGAGTTTTTTTTTTAATTCATGAAAGAATGACCTGTGTCCTTTTTTACCCACCACGTATAGCCTTATGGATCCACTATGCTTGTTGACAATCACATGTTGCATGGCGCTTAGGCAGAAGTTATAGATGGATTCCTAAGAGAACTGGTGACACAGAGGCCAAGTACTCTTACTCCTGCCAGAAGAAGGAAGTGGGTGTCATTGCTTAGATGATGGTCCACATTGCTGCTTGAGGAGCTGGGGTGCAGAATATACTCTGGCTGATGCTGTTAGCTAACTACATACATTTCTCATTGGGCTTCCTCTGAATAATGGGCATGAGAGAATGTCACTGTCTTTCTCAATCAGGTGAAACTGGGTCATAGAATTGTTTCTTTGTTCGGTAGCTTATACTTAGTGCAATTGTTTATTACTATGTCTGCAAAAAGCTTTTTAAGGCATTTGGAGGAATGTATGACCTTGTCAATAAAATACAGTGATTATTTTAACCCCATGGCTTTTCTTAACTTATTTATCTTTTCAAAGGCACAAACACTAGGCTGTTCAAGGTCTAATTCCAGAATTTCAAGACCTCTGCTCTTACCCACCTCAAGATGGATACATCCCAAGTTTCTCCGAGGGTTTGTAATGGGAATCTTTCTGTTGATTTCTTACAGTACAACAAACACCTCTTCGTACACATTGGGCATGCCAACCATTCCTACAGTGACCCATTGCTTGAATCAGTGGATATACGTCAGATTTATGACAAATTTCCTGAAAAGAAAGGTGGCTTAAAGGAACTATTTGGAAAGGGCCCTCAAAATGCCTTCTTCCTCGTAAAATTCTGGGTGAGTACAACATTGCTGTGATTCATGTGGTTTAAGCCTAAATGCTCAACTCTCATATGTGAACCGCGCTAGCAGTGGGTTCACACTGCCATCATCTTGCTGTGCTTCTGCACCATTGCCAGTGATCGTGGGCTCACATAGGTGGGCTGTCCTCAAGCTGACCTTGTGCATGCGCAGGGTACACCCCCTGGCATTTGCATTTTCTGCCCCACCGAAGGCGAAGGGTGAGAGAGACCGGCAGCCTCTTCCGGGCTTCGAGGTGTACTTGTGCAGCGACTCTCAGGTGGCTGGAGTGACAGTGGAAAATATGGGCCACTATGACCTTTTCTTCTTCTCGCCCCATTAAGCAAAGCAACCTATAAATGTTGCTGAAGCATAGACCTGAAGTTGGCATGAAGATAGTTATGTGCTTGAGATTTTGAGAGAATCCAGAATGCCTTTGCCCAATAAATACTTCATTTGTGCTTGAATTCGGGCAATTCCCCTTTACTGATATATTGAGGCCTCTTAGGAAAGCTTTGCTGTCTTTTCTCTGCTAGTCAAGTTTGGATGGGGAATGAGGGGGTTCTGAGCAGGCCTAGCTATGGGGACTTGGAGATGGGGCAGGAGACCAGATAACCTGCTCGCACCAAGAGTTTGTAATTCCTCAGTCTTTACACAAATATAAGGCTTGCAATGTTTATGCCCCATAGTACGTCATGAAAAGGCCTAAAAAAGACCAGCTCCGGGGCATTGTCTTCTTGAGTCCTCTCTAACCCTTTGCCCACCTGTGTGTCCTGTGCCCTGCCTTGCACATGTTCGTATACACTTACTTTTCTCCTTTTCCTCTTCTGCCACAAGCCAGTTCTTCCCACTACAGCACCCTCCTCATTTAAGTGGACCATTGATTTTCCTTTTAGTCCCATTGCATTTTGTAGTTAATCAGTCCCCATGCTGGGTCATAATTATTTGGATGTGCATCACACTCCTGTCTAGACTCCGGCTGCCTGCAGGGGACCTTATTCATAGAATGGCTTCCATTTATTGAGTGCCTGCTGTGTGCTAGGAGCTGCGCTAAATGCTTTGCATGCATTTCATCTAGTCCTCACAGCTTAAGTGGAATTTGCCTCTTATCCAGCTAAGAAAACAGGCTCAGAGATGACAGAGGACAGCCTGCTTGTAGGCTGGGGACCTGGGACTTGAAATCAGATCTATCTGACTTTAATGCCCCTGTTCTGTTTCCTGGCTGCTTAGTACCCTGCAGATTCTGGCCACAGGGTTTATCAACTTTAGACTGTCTGTATCTCTGACCCCAAGCAAATGTCCTACCTTAAAAACCCAGCAAATATGAGACAGTGGTAGAATTAGAGAAAAAAAGAAAAAAATTCATGTTTTAAATTCCACAGGGGGAAATTTGCATATTTAATTCCATTTGTTTAGTTTGTCCTTTCATGGTGACCAAATTTTATTACGTGTGTCTGTGTTGACAGCTGGGTGGAGGTAGCCTTTTCCTTATAATAATGTTTATGGAATTGGTAATACATGGATAACCTGAAAAAGCATAATAATCACTTTTGTTTTCTAGATGGGTGGCTGCCTTCTAGTGACTGGGGATCAGTTGTTAGATGTTAACACAGCAGCTTTTACATGTGACCAGTGAACTACAGGATTGACAAGGTCAAACCTATTTTTGTTATAATACTGCAGCATGACCTGAGCCCTGCCAGTGTTTACTCTGGCAGTAAAAAGCAGTGGGTACAACTGCTGGGGCCTCAGGTAGGGATCAAGGTAGCGGCTTTGACACTTAAATGCACACACAGTTTAAAAAGAGTAACTCAAGCCAGGAATGCCCCTTATGAATTTTGTGACATCTTAAACCATCTTCTTAACACACGTTCAAAATGAACACAGCATGTCAAATCCTGGAAAACAACTGACATTATTTGTTACCAAAGACAAAATTCAGGCTCACAAAGGAAAATTAGAATTTTTATTCCATCTCAGTGAATGAGTTAGCTTCCCAATAGGAGGCTTTTCTGATGAGAACCACAGTTCCCTGCCCACACCAGGGACCAAACTCAGGACCTTGTGCTTGCCAGACAGGTGTGGCACCATTGAGCTACATGCTGGGCCCTCACAGTGGTATTTAAAGACCCTGGTTTGATATTGTGCTAGAGGCCAATGGAATCTAAGGTAGCACAGAATGAAACATTCATTGGTAAGGTTTCAGATTTGCCCTTTGATGTACTATTTTTTAAAAAAAGGACAGTCTTATTTTTTTTTTAAATATAGGAATGGAGCCAGGTGTGGTGGCACATGCCTTTAATCCCAGCACTCAGGAGACTGAGTCAGGAGGATTGCTGTGAGTTGAGACCAGCCTGGGCTACATAGTGAGTTCCAGGTCAGTCTCAACTACATAGTGGGACCCTGTCTCAAAAAACAAAACAAAATATATATAGAGAGAGAAAGAGGAATGGTTACTTTCTTTAAAAGATATGTATTAGCATATTTTTTGAGGTTATTATTTTTTCAAGCACAATAATAAGTATTTTGAAAATTTCTCGGTTTCAATGTCCAGTATGGAAAACATAGATAGCTATCATCCACCATAAACAAAAACTGTTTAGTTGTTTTGTTTTGTTTTTGGTACTGGGGATCAAACTCTGAACCTTGCACTTGTGAGGCAGGCAGTAGAACCACTGAGCTAAATCCCCAGCCCAACAAAAACTTTTTGAGGTATTCGTTTTTTTAAGACTATAAAGGGACTTGAAGTTAAGAAGTTTGAGAGCCACAGTTGTAAAAGTTATAAGAAGAGATCATTGATCCAAGCTAATTACAAGTGAATTCTAAATTATAAGATAGGATGAAACCATCTTCAGTATTTTCTTTATCTTCGGTATTTTCAAATTGAACAGTAGAGATTTTAAATAATAAGATTTCTAATAATTAGTGTTTTATTTGAATATAAATAGGTATAGCAAGGGTGCTTAGACAGCCTTTTTTTTTTTTTTTTGGCCTCCCAAATTTCTGGTGTTTTTCTCAGAGGATGATTTTAATAACTGCTTTCAATAATGGGGCCCTTCGGTCATGCACCTACGAGTGATGAGGTCTAGAATGCAGATTTGTAGAGAATGGTGGCTGGTGTAAGATGTATGAATTTAGAAACCGTTACTCAGATCAGACGCTTACTTATTAAATGAAGATTTACAGGATTAAAATTGAACACTTCTTAGAATATGATAGAAAAAAGTCTCTTCAGTATAATTGTCGGGAGTACTTAACCTTTACAAGGAAATTCAATCATAACTATGTTAAAAGAGAAAGTAATTTACATTAGATTTGCAATTGAAATCTCATTGGCTTCCATCTTTGGACATCCGTAGGTTCTGGTGCGTGCTTCTTAAGTAGATCTAGCATTCTCTGGTGTATCTTCTATATTAGCAATTTGCTTAGCAGATTTTCCTCTTTTTGTGTGAATTAAGTAAATTACAGCAGTACCCCCATACCTGACCCGTCTCTTCTCTTTTGCCTGTTTCTTAACTTACCAGAACTCTTTAGGTTGTCGGAAGTCTTAACTTTGCTCAATTGGTTTTTCCTGAAACTGTTTTCAGAGTGTCTGCCTCCTCCAAACTGGGCTTCCTCTGGCTAGCTCAGAAGAGGGCAGAGTCCTCTGCAGAAGAAATTCCAAATACTGTACTTTCTCAAGTACCTGCTCTTAGCTCCATGTGTAGGCAGCTCAGCTCTTTGCCAGTCGCCTCTTTTGAGGTGAATGGAATGCAAGCAGCCATGCAGCATCCCCTCATTGCATCTGGGTGGGAGATTCTCACTGGCATCCTGCCACAGAGTTCAAAACATAGATGAGTTGGGAAAAGTACAGATGTCAGCATGGATGCCCTGTTTCAGGTAAGCCTTACGACCTCAGGCCTCAGTTGTGTGTGACATGCACAGCTCCTCTCAGTGATTGTATCTGGTGAGATCTGTCTTTTGGAAGAGCCTTATTGAGTTACAATTAATGTGCCATAAAGTTTGCTCATGTTAAGTGTATAATTGAACCATTAAAGAAATTTATAGAGTTGTGTAACCATAACTACAATCGATTTGCAGTGTTTTCTCTCACTCTAGGAGATCACCTTGGCCTGTTTGTAGTTAGTTCTTTCTTGCTTCCCGTCCCCAATCACAAATCTACTTCCTGTCTGTAGGGCTTTGCCTTTTCCGGACATTTCTCATAAATGGAATCATTCACTGCTTGGTGTTCTGTGCCTGGCTCCTTATGATAATGTTGAGGTGCATTGATTTGATAGCATGAGTTAGCAGGTAGCTAGCTCCCTTCTATTGCTGAAAAGACTGCCCTTGTGCAGATAGGCCATGTGTTCTTTCCTTACCCTGTCAGTGGGTGATGGGCTTGTGCAGTTACTTCTCCAGGCGATTACAAATGACGCTGCTGCAGAGTCTGTACAAATCTGTGTGGACATAAGATTCCACGGGGAGGGGCCACTACCAAGCAGTAGAATTGCAAGGTTATATGATATCTGTGTTTAACATTTAAGAACCTGCAGATTTTTTTAAGTAGTTGTAGTATTTTACATTCCCACGGTGAAATCTCAGGTGTTCCCCTCCCCCGTCAGCCATTCTGTCTGCAGCCCTGGGATAGAGAGAGGTTAAGGGGCCCTGGAGGTGAGAAGGCTGGAGGGGAAAGTCGCCAAGACAGGGTGCATCCAGGCGTGTTACAGCTGGGCCTCTCCAATGTGGGGAGATGTGTGGGTGGCAATTCTGAAGACAAGGAATCTGGATTCAATTGTGTGGACAGTAAGCAGGGTTCAGAGATTTTAGCACTTTTTTAGCCAGGAGAATAATGTTGCTATTGAGAATTAAAGAAACTTTCTGTATTGTATCTTTTCTACTTGAATTCTTTATCTTTCCCTTTTCATCGCTGCCTTCTAAGCTAAGGACCCTTATCCAGGATGCTTGGGACCAGAAATGTTTTAGATTTTGGAGTTTCTTAGACTTTGGAATATTTGCAT